AAGTCGCGGTAGGACACCTGGGGGAAGGGTTCTGCTTGAAGAACGGATTTTGAACGGATTGGTATAAAGAGAATGGCTCACGGGAGGACTAACTTTCACTCACTGTCCTAATGAAATGCCTCATGGGAGGACTAATTTTCAGTAGCTTAACCAGTGGCTCACAGTAGGACCAACTTTCAGTAACTTTTCCTCCTTAGTAGTATTGTTTACTCCACTTTCACTTACTTATCTTGCTTCATTCTCTGGCTCCTTTGCATTCACCTGAAAAACTGCATTCAACCGAGGAAATTTTTGCCATCTACTACTTCAAAAAGCTTCACGAAAATCATTTTTCAATAACTTTCAGTTCATAACCGTCTAATTACCGTACAAAATATTTGTTAAGTTTTGTAAATAAATTTATCGATGATTGGTGTAGGCTATTGTTCTATTTATTACACAGTAATGCCGGGCGCGGCATTCAATTTTTCGCATGACTGAGCTCCTGATAGAGAATCACTGATGATAGAAGAAGAACTCGGGGTGATGACAACGGTAGGAAGGACGAACGACGACTAGTGCATTCCTAAATGATTTTCTTGTCGTGTTCGGTCGTCAGTTGCTTCGTCGGGCTGCTCACCCTTTCCCAAATAAAACCCTCAAAGTTTGTTATCAGTTCTTTTTAGCAGGGAAGGACAACGTTAAGGGTATTGTATGCGATCAGTGAGGTGGAAGGGGCTGTTGTGGAATTTTTTGGATTTTTTTCTGGGGATTATTATTGAGGCTTCTGCAAATATAAGTGTTTATAATGTATATATGTAAGTGTTTATATGTGTTTATCAGCTGATAATGTATATGTTAATGCTGTGTGAGTAATAGCTCGTCGCTGGTTGGCCACGGTTACGGTGGTAGGCGTGGTCGTGGCCGGTTTTCTTTTTCGTTCCTCTGCTCTCATCGCTCTGTCTCATGTTTTGTGGCGCTCGCTGCGCCTCTGTATGTCGTTCTCATCGTCACCATCGTCGTCTCCGACGTTGTGGTAGTCGTCGTCGCTTGCGCGCACGCCGCTCATCAGTTTTTGCTCAAGTGATCCAGATTGCTTGTGACAGTGGACGCGCGTGTTTCCGCACGTTTGTCGTCCAAGTCGTCCGTCTTCGGCTTCCGTTTTCCGTCAACCGTATCGTATGTGTGTGTGTTGAACGGAACACGACCAGATCACTACAGTTCACTACATTATATCGTAAAAGAAAATGCATCGTCATGTCGATCCGCACTACTCATTGACGGACGTCGTACCGCGATGTGACAGGTCCCTTTCAGTTCGAGTTAAGCAATCCAATCATTTTTCAATTTTATTAAACACTCAACGTTTTGATTTCATTCAAGTCGCGCACGCCTATGGGTGGCCAATTAGAAACTGATCGCTGAAGATTGGCCCATTCAAGGGCTCCTCTACAAAAATCCTCACTGTCTTCCGATGTTTATAGAAACATCACGCTTTGGCACGTTTCCAACTGGCTAACATGGAAGTAACAATCCTAAAGATCATAGGCACCTCATCAAAAATGCAATCTAACAAAGGGTCCGTGAACTTTTATTCCCTTGCCGTTGCACTTGTTCGGTGGCACTTTTTACTGGGGTAATGACCCTTTTTGATAAGGATCTAAAACAGTTTAACAGTGTACAACCTGAGTGACTCAGCATTGAGTATTTACTGACTACTGCATGAGAGCGCGCCCTACTAGTTCGCCGTTTTACGGCGGCGGCCGCTCCTCCACCACCATCACCATCACCCATACCACCGTCGTCGTCACCACCACCACCACCACCAGCACACCAGGCATTCAGCCTACCCGACCCGCCTCTACCCCGCTATCAGTCTCTGTCGAGAGATGATATCGGCCGCCGCGTTACCCCTCAAGCCTCCAACAAGGAGGCCTACAGCCAGATCTAGACAACTAAAAGGTACCCATCAAACACATATGTATTGTTACTGAACTGTTTTTCTATCTCTGTTCCATCCATCGGTCACAGTCGTGTTTTGTCCGCGATCAGCTAGCGTCATCACATTGGCCATACCCAATGCCAATGGGATGTCGCAGGGGTATTTTTGCTTGTGATAGCCCCCTCTTAACCGTAGCGGTTTCTGGCTTAATGCAAATCATCGGCCCGGCCTGGCTACTACGTTTCGACCTTTTTGACAGCGATTCGCTTAATTGCACTAACAGACAACCGCACGCAATATAATCGAATTAAGAGAGTTGCGAACGATTGCAACCAATTGTGTATACGATCTACCCGATAATTGATTGAATTAGGCCCGTTGGATAAACACATACATTAAAGGGTCGAGAGCGACATCACAGGAAGCTTTGAGCGCTTCTATGGCGCTAAAAGCGCTTAGATGTCTTCCGGTCGGCATACCTTTAACTTCCTGATGATAGGCTATGCCTAATGGGACATCCTCCTCAGACGGGCGTAGACATGGCAAAATGGCAGGGATCCCTTTGCGGAAACATAGTGGGGTGGAGCTGATGGTGGTGGTGGTACAGGTCCATAGCAGAAACCCTGGGACTACTGTAATGGGTCAAAGGTTACTGTATCATTGAATAATTGATGCCGGTTTTAGACGACGATCAGAAGCCACCAAATGATCCAGACGAGGATGCCGCTGCACGGATGCGTCTTAAACGAAAATTGCAACGGAATCGAACGTCTTTCAGTCAAGAACAAATTGAAGCTCTTGAAAAAGGTTCGCATTTTTCTATACAAAATAATTTTTTATTATTTTTTTCTCGACTTTGATTGGGTCCTTATGCTCTCTCAATGCCTTTGTTTCCCTGTCGAGTTTCTAAATGTTTCGTTGTGAATGTTATGATGTGGAGGAACAAAGTGAAGTGAACACACAATTGAAGACACCCCCCAAGACACTTGAGTTCTCCTCAATTGAGGTGGCACAGTACAGACCTCATTTGGTCGGGTTATTGCCTACTCTAACCAATCGTGTGTAACATGTTTTCTCTTCTCAAGCAAACACTCGAAACATCGACAGTCGTTTTGCTGGTTTTCTTCTTTCACCATTCACTTTCTTTTGCCATTGTTCCCTAGGTTTATAGTTCAACTGAATGTTCTTCAAGTAAAACATTGGATTCTTGAGGTTTCCCCCTTGAAGACCTATTGACACACTACTTGAATTTCCAGAATTTGAACGTACTCATTATCCGGATGTTTTTGCTCGAGAACGGCTCGCTCAAAAAATCGGCCTCCCTGAAGCACGAATACAGGTGGGCTATTTAAAGATGAGATTTTTTTATTCCAAATTGTTACTGCTGAATATTGTAGTGTGCCTAATAGTAGAGTTGATTCGTATCTCAGAAGTTCATAGGGTTCCTCCCTGGCATCAGGACCCTATAATTCCCTATCTGACCTTAGTGTTAATGGGCCATAACGATTACATAACCCTGTGGCCCGCCGCCGGAATAGTTTTCGCGCGGATCGTATATCACTAGGAACAGTCCAGTCTCCTACAGTATAATCATCAACTATCACCTTGGCAGACCTCCAGGCCAACCTTTAACCTCAAGAGTTGGCCCAACTTACTCGAGTAAGGCGCCCATGGCGGGTTCCTCCTCCAACAAGAACGGTACTGCCCAGCTGACAGGTTCAGCGTTGCGCATATCAGTAAAGGGTGTATTGTATGGAAAGTTTCCGGCAACCTTGAGTTAGTGTGATGGGGTAGAAGTGCTGTCAGTCAGTCAGAGCGTTACGCGACAATGGCTGTCACTCGGTCTGATCCTGATAACGCGCTAGGCCTCTCTCTGTCCCCCCATTCGACGACCTGTCTTCTCGTCAATATGCTGGCCTTTTCAGTCTTCTCGTGCTCGTCAATCGTGCTGCGCCTGTTTCAAACGACCTCAAACATCACGCATATTTTGATGTATTCTATGATAAAAACCCTTTGAGAACTGTCTATAGCACACAGAAGAAGAATTATTCAAAACAATGCCTCCGCCTTGCCCGATGGCGTTCAATGCAGGGCCAGGTGGCACGACGCTATTTCGACTTCCGTGCCATTAATCTCGATTAAGGCTAAAAATTCAACAATGTCAGGCATTACTGTACTCGTGCAGCTGCTGTTCAAAATCCTGGCTCGAATGTCAGCTCAAAACCCTCTTTTGCAGGTCTGGTTTTCGAATCGACGAGCGAAATGGCGTCGAGAAGAGAAACTACGAAACAAGCGACCAGGCGGTCTTATGGATACGTCCATGTCGAATGGCACTCCAACACCAACGGGTTCGGGTCCCGGTAGTGCTATCGACGGTTCACCAGCTCCAGCGCCAAATCGTTTTGCAACGAATCCGACGGCGGTCAGCGCCAGTTTCGTACCATCAGCCGGTCAAATGTATACCGGTTTAGCGCCACAAGCCATGGATCCTTATGCGTACGTTTATAATCATTTCGGAACTTCGATTATCGATTTTTCTGTGGGGTTGCGTCACCATTTCAATGAAAGGTTATATTACAGGTTTGGATTCGCTAACGCTGGTCTTGGCATGGCACCCTATCAGCCAACAGCTGACTTCAGCTCACATCATATGTTCAATGCAAGTACACGATCACCCTATGACGCATTCCATGTAAGCCGCTAAAGAGTTTTAGGAGGTTAGGATGAGGTCTAATTGTTTTTGTTCAGCCATATGCTCGAGCTATGCCAACCAGTGGTGGACCATCATTTCAATCTTCGATGAATCCCACGACGACGTCTGTTGGAGGTAATACTGTTCTCCTGGTTTCTTAGTAAACAGGCCACATCATTCGTCGGAGATTTTGGTCCCCTAGAAAGTGGCTCGCTATGACCCTCTCTAGTTTCCTCCTCTTGGAGCTGTCGAGCAAAGAGATATATAGTACATATGAAACAGGAAAAACCACGGAAAATCAACAACGTCTTTGAGAAGGCCAGAAGGCAAATGCGATCCCCCCCTGTTTGGGAATCCCCAACGATGATGTGCCCTTTTTGTAAAGCGTTTCTTCCCCCTTGTAGGTGACCACTGACCACACCCTATTTTCACTTGAACTTCATACCTTATTCAGTTTTAATCTATCTCGCATGGTCTCAATTGACGACCGATGTTTCTCAGCACTACCGTAGTTTGGCGTTGACGCTTTGTGCGCAGTGCCTGCTGAGCGCCAGGTGCTGGGGCCTGTCACTTCAGATTTCATCGCTACCAAGACAATTTTTTGGGCAATGAGATCAAGCGCAAGTGCCGATAACGCTTAATGACAGTTGTCTCACCGCAAGATCGGAACGCTTCTCATTGATCCTCGTCGTCACCTTGTGAGGGGGGGGGGCATGTTGTCATATGACGACGTTTTCACGTCATCACCCGGCAGGGAGTTGAACTTTAACCCGAAAAATTAGTCAACATGGCAGCGGGCTAAGTATGGAATGGGTTCAGTCCAATCGAAATCGATCGGTGTGAGGTTTACTGAGAACAAGAGTGCAGTGTCATTGAAGAACAGTGTGGAGAGTTTTGCGAACGCTTTCATGACACCGACGACAGTAACTGTACATTCTCGTTCACTGCGAGAAGTTCTTTTGTGAAGGCGAGATTTATTTGTGTGGCCGGTTGTAGGTTTATTGCTACTTCAGGCGGTACAAGTGTTTTTGAATCGCGATCGTGAAACGAGTTTTGTTTCGAGAACCCCCCATCCCGCCATATCTGGCGTGCGTCCGCTGCCATAAAATCGGGGCCACACTCGCACATTCCCACGATTCGCTCCTGTGACGGTGTCGTGTGGTGGTGGCGGCGATGGCTATGCCGACGACGACGTGGGATGCGGGCACTACTCTCAGTCCATACAAATCCTCTTCGGTACTGTATTAAAGTCAAAGGCTGGTGGCTTGAGGTGGGCAAGACGGTTGAAGCGTTAGTTACTCCTCTTTTAATTTTGGCCTCAATGGGGTTACGGAGTATTGCGCAGAGGGCGAAATTCCATTGATTTTCTCCAGTAGGAAGAATGTGCAACCATAGGATTCCGTACTTCGGTGAAGGTGCGATAACGTGCGGCCAGGGATCAGTGACTTCCTGCTTTTTCCCGTTTTATGACCAGCCTATCTAACCGGGACTGGGTGGGGGATACATTAACGGAACCGGGAGGACATTTTGGCATAACCACGCCATTTATAAAGTCTACTGGACCGTTTGAGGGCCCAGCAGGAAAGCCATCACATTCAAACCTAGCGAAGAAACGCTGGGACGCTAATGAACGTTCATTTTGCGCATGGGTCTATTAAATGGTTCCATCCCTCTAAGGTTATTGGCGCCAAAATCAGTAAAGGAAAAACGTAGTCTTCGACGTTAATCAGTCCCTTTTTGGGATACGGCACGGACGACTACAATGAATCGCGAGAGCGGGCAGATGTACAAGCCAGTGCTCTTGTCCTCCCAGACGAACCTGGTATCAATTTACTGCCCCCTACCCGGAGGGTAGCAGGCTCGTTTAACCCGGGCAGGAGCCGACCCAGGTCGTGATTCCCGGACCGTACGCATCGCATGGTGAGCGTGCCACTTGCCACTACACCACTTCCACCTCCTAAAACTGACATTTCTTGCAGCTTTACATTTGGCCCTAGGAACTCTGCTTTAAAAAAATTTTCTATATTACTCTCTAATGGGGGGGAGGAAGGAGGGAGGCGATAGTCAGTTTTCGTTTTTTCAGAGAAAACCTAGTTAATTTCTATAAATGCCAATGACAGTCGAAGCAGCACTCTTGCCTAACATAGTACTGTAGGGATCTTTGAGATTTGAAAACCACCGGGGTTAGACAGAGTATTCCTAGGATATTACTCGTAGTACTGTTAAGAGTATTTCCGCGACTCTAGTCCTGCCTGTCAATAATTTTCCCCATTATAGGACTCGGTTCCAGCATGGGATTGCCGGTATCGGCTGTGCTGAGCACAATCGACCAACCTTCACTGGGTCAGCCATCGATGCACGATTTGGGTGACGGTCAACATGAGCAGTACTGGCGACAATGATGGGTTACATTCATCACATATCACATTGACAGTACGATATGATGTCGTCAGCAGTTCATCTGTGGTGGTATGAATCCTCTTGTGGTTATCATACCACTATAAAACCCCTGTTTATGGTCATCCCCCGAGTTTTTGCCGAGCTTCATGGCACGCGATTATGTCCACATCACTCGACGCATACCATCACATCGTGTTTGTTGTTGTTACTGAATCGCTGCAAAATCATTTTTACGTGTTTGTCATTATCAGTCTATCCCCCGCGTTCATTCTTACCCGTTCATTCAGCGGCGATTCGTTGTAGTCGTAAAGTAAGTAATTTGTAGTTTCCATTTTTTTGCCCCTTTGAAATTCAAAAGGTCAGCGTCGAGGATTGGCCAATCGACGTGCCTTTACGTGATTTCTCCCTGTTATCGCAGTTGTCATACGATGCAATGACGTATCATAATAGTTCCTCTTACCATCCCCCCTCCTTGTTGCCACACGTTCGTCATCCCTCTCGCGCTCACATCTACCGTACTCGGTGGTCGTGATGGGACGACGACGATGACGGCAATTCAAGTGTCCCATTCGTCTATGATGTTGCTGTATGATTGCAAAAATCTTCTTCGTCTCTTGTACGTACAGTTTTTCCCCCCGATCCGTCTCATATCATGTAAATCTTGATGAGAAATCCTTTTCTTTATTATTATTTTTTTGTTTTCCTTTTCTTCAATGTCATGTTGTTTGTCTATTGGTTGTCATGCATAACAAATTTGGTGATTTCATAAATATTTCAAACATATAACTGCATGTATTTTTTTGTTTCCAAGACATTTATTGCTGAGAAATCTAGACCTACAAGGTTTCTTGAAAAGTGGATTCGTTTCTTTTGAGTAACCAGAAAAATCTCCACCCCTTTCTTTAACGCGAGTGGGCATGGGCATTCCTGAACAGGTGGGGTCGGCAGTTTAGTTTTTGGGAGGAGGGGAGAGGGGTCATATCTAGAGAGGTGAGAACTCTTCCTAGGTTCCTGCCGTTCGGGTGCCCCATATTCCACCCTTACAGGCGACATCGCAGTTTCACTATTTCTGATAGTAGTCGATAGTTCATTGGTGGTCTCCTTTCCGTTTCTCGGTCCTTTTCCGCTTCTCAGGGGCTAGGGAGGGCCACGAAGCGAGTTCCCACCCCCACATGATAACGAAGGTGAAGCTTGAAAGCGTCTCGGCCATAACGCTAACTTCTGTGGCAGTCCTGTCGGTTACCTCAGCCATTTCGAAGCGCTCAATGGTGCAGGGCAAAATTTCCCAAATGGGAAAGCGCGGCGTGGAGTTTCCTGAGAAAAATGATCCTTGCCAAAGTGATTCGTTGAAAGGTCAAGAATCATATTGTGTTCATAAAGGTTTGAGTTGTAATCCCGTCAAAGTTTGTATAGTTGACAACGTCGCAATGAAACGAGGCGGGGTCAGGAGGGGCGGAATGAGCCCGCCTCCGGCTACCTTCTCTACCAATGGTGATCGGCTAATAATCGATCAACAACTAGAACAACCAGTGAAGGGACGTCGCGTATAGGCTCATTCTGTCCATCATGAAATCGCCCGGACTAATTGCATATATCAACTGCACGCTCACCAACATAATGTCAATCCTAATGTAGTATCCATTACTACCCACAAGAACCCTTTTATCATTTTAGAAGGAAAATAATATTCTTAGATTCATTGATCGAAGTCATTGATTGCTTCCATGATAAGCTAGTTCGATAAGCATCTCTTCATCTCTGAGTTTTTTTATTGGCAGAACTAAAGGATGAGCTGGGACCTGGTTAAGTCTGTATAGTTGATAACGTTGCAATCAAAGGGGGTGAGGTCAGTGACGGAGTGAGCCCGCCCCCGGCCGCCCTGCTCTACCAATGGTGATCGGCTTGTGACTGATCAAGGAAAAGTACAACCGTGTGGGGGGGGGAGCTGTGAACTCGCAGGTGGGCTCATTCTTATCCCTCTAGAAGCCACCCCGTCTGATCGCTGCGATATCAGCTGTACGATTACCAACAGAAATGAAGTCCTAGGCATCCTAATCTGGTATTCATTGCCAATTGTCATTGTCATTGCCCTTCAATCATTTTTGTGAAAAAAATTTCAAATTTATTGATCAAGTTCATTAAAAATTGATTCCACGATACTTGAGTTCGTCAAGCATCTCTTCGTCATCTTTGGGTATTTTTACCGGTAGGACTAAAGGCTGAGGAAGGACCTGGCCAGCACAGCAATACTTCTTTGAAACCGAACCGCAAGCGTTAGCGCAAGATAATGATCGCATCTTTCTAGCGAAAGTGTACAGCTAGTAAAAGTTAGGTGAGTGCATCCTCCTCCAGCACTTTATTCGATTGCCCAAAATTAGAACTCTGAAGACGGAAGGGACCAATTCTCTCGGATTTTGTGAGCCATTCCTGGGGTGTGAGCTTTCTACCTGATTATCACAAAAGCCTATTTGAGTTTGCCTATGCTTCTGAAGATGCTTATTCAAAGGCAATAATGGACGGTTTTGATTGGTATCAGGTTATGGTGGGGGGCTTTTTGAGCAGTGCGAAGATTTCGCGTACGTCCAGCGATAGTGTCGCGAATGATCATGTGAATTGACAGGTTGTTGATGGAGTATGTGATCGATGAGGGTGGTAGTTGAACGATGAAAGTGAGATAGTACGTGAATACGTGCACGAAAATGTGGACAATTGACGACGATCGACGACTTAACTGATCGCCGCGCTAGAGAGAGCGAGCGCT